AAGAAATCAAGATACCTCGAGACAAATGAAAATGAAAATGTAATGACCCCAAATCTATGGGATACAGTGAAAGCAATGCTAAGAAGGGGAATTCATAGCAATGCAGGTCTACATAAAGAAACAAGAAAAATCTCCAATAAACAACCTAACCTCTACTTAAAGGATCTAGAAAAAAGCAGCAAACAATGTCCAAAGTGAGTAAAAGGAAGGAAACAATAAAGATCAGAGCAATAATAAATGAAATAGTTTAAAAAATGATACAAAAGATCAATGAAACAAATATTTTGCTCTTTGAAAACAATAAAATTGATAAATCTTTAACCAGACTCATCAAGAAAAAAGAGAGAACCTAAATAAGTAAAATCAGAAATGAAAGAAGAGAAGGAACAACTTCTCTGTATTACTTGTTCTTGAAATGTTTGTCAAATTCACCCGTGACGTCATCTGGTCCAGGTTTTTATTTTGGGGAGGTTTTTGATTGCTGATTCGATGTCATTAGTAGTTACTGATCTGTTCAGATTTTTTGTTTCTTCCTGATTCAGCCTTGAAAGATTGTATGTTTCCAGGAATTTATCCATTTCTTCCAGGTTGTCCAATTTGCACACATATAATTTCTCATAGTATTTCCTGATAATCTTTTGTATTTCTGTGGTGTCAGTTGTAATTTTTTAATAGTCTATTTTATTTATTTGTGTTCTGATTTTTATTATTTCTTTCCTTCTACTCATTTTGGGCTTAGCTTGTTTTTTATTTCCTAGTTTCTTTAGTTATAAGTTTAGATTGTTTATTTGAGATTTTTCTTATTACTTGATGTAGGCCTGTATCACTATGAATGTCCATCCTAGAAATGCTTTTCATGTGTCCCAAAGATTTTTGGATTATTGTGTTTCCATTTTCATTTGTCTCAAGATTATATATATCTTGAGGCTATATATATATATATATATATATATATATATATATATATATATCCTCCTTGATTTCGTTGTTAACCCATTGATTGTTTAGTAGCATGTTGTTTGGCCTCTGTGTGTGTGTGTATGTGTGTGTGTGTGTGTTTTCCAGTTTTCTTCTTGTGATTGATCTCTAGTAGCATATTGTTGAAATTGGAGAAGATACTTGACATGATTTGAATCTTCTTATGATTGTAGAGACTTTTTTTCAGGCCTAATATGTGTCTATTCTGGAAAATGTTGTATATGCACTTGAAAATAATAGGTATTATGTTTATTTCAGATGTAATGTACTATAAATATCAGTTAAGTATATCTGATAAATGTGTTGCTTAAGGCTACTGTTTCCTTGTTGATTTTCTGTCTGGATGATTTATTCATTGATGTGAGTGGGGTGTTAAAATTCCCTACTATTATTGTGTTACTCTCAATCATTCCCTTTGTGTCTGTTAATATTTGTTTTTATGTATTTATTTTCTCAGTTGAGGTGCTTTAGACATAAACTGGAATGTCAAGAAAGCTTCAGAACTTTTTAACAGAGTCCGTGTTGAGATTATTGACATCTAAAATGAATGGTTGTGAGGCAGGTGTTAATAAAGATGTATAAAATGGAAGTGAATTCTAAAGTGGACATATTCATACAGAATATAGATATGTATATGATCCAAACAGTGGGATTGTGAAATATTCCATATTACCTCAAAAAATGTGGTACTGATCACCATGCCTGACACATAATTATCACATGCTGATTTAGTTTATTTGATTGAATTAAATATTCAAACACCCAGATTTTTAGGATTAGAAGAAACCTGGAGGAACATGCCACCCAACAGCCACTAGTGCATGAGATAGATTTTTAACTACCATAGGCAGTTGGGGTCCCTTTGCCCAATGTCTGCACATCTGCACCACCACCACAAAATATGCTACTGCTAGGGAGCTATGATTAATTATTTAAGTGATAAAATAACTAAAAATATTAATGTGTGAAAATCTGTGATGATCAGAACCAAACGGAGAAAACGGACCAGGAAAACCAGGATGGGTGGTAGAGAGCTTCCTCCCTTCACTGACTGGTAGGTAATGCCCTCATAGTCCCAAATCATTTTCTCCTATTATGCCTTAGGTTATTTTGATTGGAGCATTTAATCCATTCACATTTAAAGTGATTATTGATAGGTGCATATTTATTGCCATTTTGTTATTTGTATTTCTGATCTTCCTGGATTAGCTTGTTTTCCCCTTTCTTCTGTTTAAAAAAGCCCTTTTATCATTTCCTGCAATGCTGGCTTGGTGATAATGAATTCCTTAAATTTATTCTTTTCTGAGAAGCTCTTTATCTCTCCTTCAATTTTGAGCGAGATAGCCATGCTGGGTAGAGCAATCTTGGTTGTAGGCCTTTATTTTGCATCACTTTGAATATCTCCTGCCACTCCCTTCTGGCCTGCAGAGTTTCTGTAGAAAAGTCAGGTGTTAGTCTTATAGGAGTTCCTTTGTATGTAACCTGCTGTCTTTCTCTTGCTGCTTTTAGGATTCTGTCTTTGTCCTTAACCTTTGCCGTTTTTATTATGATGTGTCTTGGTGTGGACCTGTTTGGGTCTAGCTTTTTTGGAACCCTCTGCACTTCCTGGGCTTGTATGTCGATTTCCTTCACCAGGGTAGGGAAGTTCTTAGTCATTATTCCTTCAAATACATTCTCGATCCCTTGCTTTCTTCTCTTTGCCTTCTGGTATTCCTATGAAGTGAATGTTGTTGAGCTTGATGTTGTCCCCCAGGTCTCTTAGACTATTTTCACTGTTTTTTATTCTTTTTTCTTTTTGTTGTTCCAACTGGGTGATTTCTGCTACTTTGTCTTCTAAATTACTGATCCGATCCTCTGCTTCATCTAATCTACTGGTGATTCCTTCCAGTGTGTTCTTCATTTCAGTTATTGTATTCTTTAGTTCGACCTGGTTGTTTTTTATGATTTCTGTATCCTTCTTTATGTCCTCCTTAAGTTCCTTAAACATTCTTACCACCAGAGTTCTAAACTCTGTCTCTGAAAGGTTGGATATCTATGTTTCTTTTAGTTCCATTTCTTGAGGTTTCTCCTGATCTTTTACTTGGGACATGTTTCTTTGTTTCTTCATTCTGGCTGTCACTCTGATTGCTTTGATGTATTAGATCACCTAGAAAGAAAAAGAAAGAAAGAAAGAAAGAAAGAAAGAAAGAAAGAAAGAAAGAAAGAAAGAAAGAAAGAAAGAAAGAAAGAAAGAGAAAAAGAGGAAAAAGAAAAAAAGGAGGGGAGGGGCTCTCCACCACTTTAATCTGCAGACCACTTGCTCAGCAATAGAGAGACTCTGGGTGACTCAGCACCAGCTGTTGGGGGGAAGGGATCAGTGCATCATGCGCTGACCTCCCTCTAGACTTGAAGTGAGCTTCCTACAATTAGTTGCTGTGTGCTCTATGTGCTCTAGAACCATGCTCACCACCAAAAATCCTCACAGGTTGTTGCGGGCTGTCTGCTGCTGCAAAAAACCCTCTGTGGGAGAGGTAGGGGCCAGGGACCAGGGGCTCAGGATGCCCCTGGCAAAACAGTTCTAGGTGGGCAGGGCAGGCCCCCAAAGCACAACAAGTTGTGGTCAGTGGTCCCTACCAAGTCAGAGCAGCATGCACTCCTGCATTGGCAGCCAACCCACACAAACTTGCCTGCAAAGCCCTGACTGAATCATGCAGGCGCACAGCTTGTGGCCCTACACTCCCAGGAAAACTCCCAGACTCAGCCTGTCCCAATCAGCTGCTTGAAGATCAGGCCGAGCAGCCCAACAGCCAATTGCCACCCAGGAAACTGCACGTGCAGTGTGGAAATCAGGAACCAAAGGCAAGTCACGTACTCCCAGGTCTCAATAAGCAGTCTATTGGAGTCAGAGCGCACCTGCCAGGCATTTCCCTGGCTACGCAGCACAAGCAGTATGGAGGGTGGGGATCCAAGGCCTGATGCGCACGCACGCACGCACGCACTCCTGCGCCAATTCCAGCAGACCAATGCGGTCCCAGAACTGAGCCTCTGTGGGAGGGCCCAGCCCTGAAAAAATGGTGGCCTCCTGTGTACTACTTATGTGCAAGCTCCACACCAGGGGAACAATGGTCCCAAAACCTCCAGCTCCCACACCAAAGGCACTCAGTTCAGTCCTTCCCGGAGGCTCCTGGACCCTGCTCACAAAGCTACTCCCTCCACCAGGAACCGGGTGAGTGCTCACCAGCGAGCTAGTCCATTTGCCAGCTCCAATATTTCTCCAGCTGCCCTCAGCCTCACTGACGTAAGCAAAGAGAGTCCTCACTAATTTCTACTTCTAGCTATCGTAGAACTCCTCTTCCCGGCAATGTAGCTCTGGGCTGGTGAGCACGGTGTGGGGCTGGAGGGTCTCGCCTCCAACCAGAGAAGCCTCCCTACCACTGAGGTGTCCCTCACGGGGTTCGCCCTCTCTCATCTCTGCCCCTCCTACCGGACTTGACATGGCCTCCTCTTTAAGTCCTTTGTTTAGAGGTTCTGCTCATCTAGGGTCCAGGGAACTTCCGAGATTGAATATCTTATAAATTATTTGTAATTTTGGTGTGATCCTGGGAGGCAGTCGGCACAGCATCTGTCTATTCCGCCATCTTACCAGAAGTCTGCCTTAGATTATTTTGTAATCTTATTTCACATTATGTGTTCTGAAATTCTAAAGGCAATTAGGAAAAAAGGGAGTTACAGGAAATGATATGAATCCAATTACAATATAGACTTATGGTTGTTTCATTTTCCAAACTGGCATTTTCATTTCTGATAATGCCCCTCCACACCACAGATACACATTTTAATTTTGCAGCTATAGTCATGAATTTCTACATGGACTCCAATGCATCTTTTCAAAATTTGAATGATGAAAGAACTGAAACAGGAATCCTTTTAATTTAAAATTTGAATTTAGTTAAACAGTAATGATAAATTAATATATACCCTGATCACATTTTTGCATTTTATGGGTCCTTTTTATATTTTAATATCTAATATTTTTTTTCAAGGAAGCTTACAAGTTCACTATCAGCTGAGCAAGGAAGAAACCCATGTATTCACCATTGAGGTAGAGAACTTTGCCAACAGAAAGATGCACCACTTGAAGATCAACCGAGAGGGAAGAGAGCTTACTATTCAGGTACCTTATTTTCCTTCCTCTCATTCATCCAAATGTGCATTGGAGGCTCAATAACACTTTTCTGTGCTTCTACCCCAAGCCAAGTTTTGGGAATAGATATGAACCACACTTGGCCTCAGACTTTGAAGAGCTAGAAAGGTGGTTCTTAATGTATGGTCCTCTCTTTCCACCAGCATCAGCATCACTTAGGACCCTGTTAGAAATGCTAATTCTTGAGCTCCACCTCAGATCTACTTAGTCAGCAACTTCTTTGCAAGGAAGGCAGCCGGTGATTCTCATGCCTGCTTAAGTTTGGTCACCCCTGAACTGTGGTATAATGAGGACAACATATGGGTGATGATGAAATCCTGCCAAGAAATTGGTAAGGACTAAGACAGAAGTGTGCCCAGGTAAAATGGGAGCATGCAGGAGGGTGCTGATCTTATCTGGGCATCAGTACTAAATTCCGGGGTAAAGCTAGGACTAAACTGGGACTTGCAGGTGAGTAGGAGTTGGCTAGGTAGAGAAGAGAAAGGAAAGCGCTGAGGCAGGGGGTCCATGTGATCATTGACGAAGCTGTCTATAGGAGCATAATATGTGGCAGGCACCCCATGAAATTCTAGCAGTCTTGGTGTAAAGAGCAGGAAGCAGGCAATGGAAGGTCACAATAGAGAATTGGCAGGGTTCACACCATCTGCTTTAGAAGCATGACCTGAAGTGAGCCCTTAAATCTGCCCAGCAGTCATCCTTTTATTTTTTTTTTAATCGATCAGCTGTCTTGATAGTCTAGATGATGATTTCAAACCTCCTCCTTTCTCTTTATACCACCAACAATATCAACCACATCTTGACTTTCAGCAGATGATTTTGTTTTCTTGTGAAAAAATGTAGCATTTAGGAGGGAATATCTACCTTCTCTCACCAGCACTTACCCCACTACCTGCATTTGGGTCCCTCTACTTTTTCTGTCTTGTTGTTGAATAAAAACAGTTAATGGTTCAAGATAAGGCCTGACCCACCACTTGTGGGCCAAATCTCATACCCTACTCAAAAACATTACTCCAGCATTATCCTCTCTTCTCCTTTTCAACATTTTTTTCCAGTTCAATTGGATGGCTTCCCAAAGCATGAAACATGCAAATATTGCATGGGGGAAAAAACAAAAGCAAAACAAGCAACAAAAAAAACAAAACTAAAAACTCTCTAGCCAGGGAAGAAAACTTCTCTTATCCTCTAACCTTACTCACATACTGCCACATTTCACTTTACTGCCCAGATTCTTGGAGATGTAGTTTATATACTTGGTCTCTAAATTTTCCATTCCTTTTCCTTAAACGCACACCAATGATTTTTCTCCTGTGTTACAGCAAAATAATACAGAGGGTGCCAAAAAATTGTATGCACATTTTAGAAAGGAAAAAAAAAACTGTATTAAACTTGTAATACTCAGAATATACTGATAACAAAAGATGAATACAAGTCATGTGTATACATGTTTTTGGAACCCCCAGTATTTCGCACGACACCAATGGCTTTATCTTGCAAAATCCATTCAGCTTTTATTTATTTGTCTTCTCATTGGCATTTGACACAGCAATTATTCTCTGTTCTTGGGACATATTTTTATTTGGCTTGCAGGACACTGCTTTCACCTGTTGTTCCTCGACATCCCTAACTTCTTTTCTTGGTACCCCCCTTTACCTTCCAAATTCTAACCATTGGAACCTTCCAGGACCCTGTCATCAGATTCTTTCTCTTTTTTTATCTGCATTCATTCTGTGACTCAGTCTCACATCTTTATATGCCATGTATATGCTGCTTAATTAATTTCAAGTGTATCTCTAAGACCAATCTTTTCCCTGAATTCCAGACCTATATATCCAACTGCTTACTTGACATATCTATGTGGGTTTCTATTAGACATCTTGAATGTAACACATTTAAACTGAGTTGCCGAGAATCTTCCCCCAAACACCCCAACTCCCCGACCGTCCATAACCTGCCATATCTGAGTTAATGACAGCTCCAGTCTTACTGTTGCTCAGTGTTAAAATTGTGGTTTCATCTCTGATACCTCTCTTTTTCTCACATGCAACATCCTGTTGATCAAGAGCTTTCTACTTGGCCCCAAGCCACCTTCACCCTTTCCTTGGCTATTGCAGGTTATAATTGCCTCTTAATTGAAGGACCCCTGCTTCTCTTTTTGTTTTCCTAAAACCTATTCTCAACATAGCAGCCAGAATGATTCTGTTACAAGATTAGTCAGATTATGGTACTCTTCTGTCCAAAACCAAAAACCTTGCAGTAGCTTAAGAGGATTCCCATGACCCAGCAAGCCTGCTACCTTCCCACTGTTACTTCTCTGATCTCATCAATCACTATTCCCTCTATAATTCCCCATTCATCCCTCTGGCCTCCTTTTATTTTCAGAGTCCATGAAAGATGACTCTTTGATATGGGCTTTGGGAGAAGTATAGATTGACTGTTGCTTTTCTTCATTAAGTGGAAGTTCAGGAATAATTGTCAAATATATTGTACAAATAATCCCTGAGTGATTACAATTTAATGTGCTTACCTTTAGCATTTTCTCTTGAAATAGGAGGGAAAAGTCTTAGGAGCAAATTTGGGTTGAGGCCTGATGGAAAAGTAGGGATGGGAATCATGAGTTCTTGTTTGAATGTGCCTTGACAGTGTCCTGATGGAACAGCTGGGATGAATTCTGGTGAGAGTTTGTATATATGACTAATTTTTTCCTTCTTTATATTGCCTGTCTTCTTTTCCACAAATGAAAAAGAAGAAAAAACAGGTCAGTGAGAGAAAGAGAAAAGGTATTTTCTTTTCTTCTCCTTCTAAAGGATTTCCACCAGTTGATTAATAGGCAATAATAAGTACATGCTGGGTGAGAATATTATATTTCCAAAACACTAAAGGGAGCAGAAAAAACTGGAAACAGAGACGTTTTTGTTTTTTTGTTTTTGTAACTTGAAATCAGTTTATTGACCCAATAACAACATACTTGTCTCCCTGACAGCCCCCCATCTCCACCCTATCTAGATCTCTTCTCTTTCCTCCCATCTTAGAACAAGCCGTTCAGTCAAAACAGAAAATGGCTGGGTACTTCACTCCTACATGCCCAGTCATACCCCCAAGCCCTGTGGAGCAGAGTCTCAGGCAGTACTCAGAACCTGTTAGAGAGAGAGGGCCGGACACTATCACTTTATTCAGCCAGCCAAAGGCACCTAGCACCTAGTAACAGATTCCCCCAGACTCTCAGGCCTGGAGTTGCTATTCCTACTCCTCTCTTTTCTCTCTGATAATAAAAAGCAGAACTTGGAGGCTAGGTATTCAGTCAAGAGCAAGAACTCCTGGTGATGATTTGAGAATTTTAATGGGGCTTGTGTTTTTTAAGGCACAGGTACCCCAACAAAACCCCCTGGTGGTGAAAGTGAACTTCAGTGTCCCTATTTAAAGTGCATTAATGACATTAAACAGATTAAGCCAGTTTGAAAAATGCCAGCACAATAGCAAGCTCTGAAGAATGAGGTGCCAAGCATTTTTGAAACCAAGTAGTTAATTACTTCCTTTGAAGATGATAGAGAGGTTAAGAGAGGCATCCCCAGATTGAGACAAACCTGGGTGTGAATCCCTGCTCCATCACTGTGTGATCTTGGACCAGTTATTTGCTGTTCTGAGCTTCAGTATATTTATCTACTAAAAAAAAAGGGGGACCTAAGCTCAATTCTTGTAAAGATCATAAATACCATATGATATCACTTATATGTGGAATCTAAAGAACAAAATAAACAAAAACAAAAACAGACTCAGATACAGAGAAGAAACTGATGGTTACTAGATGGGAGAGGGGTTGGATGATGAGGTGAAAAAGGGGAAGGGATTAAAAAGTACAAATTGGTAGTTACAAAATAATCACAGGGATGTAAAGTACAAAATAGACAATACAGTCAATAATATCATAATTCAGTAAAACCTTGGATTGTGAGTAACTTGTTTTGCAAGTGTTCCACAAGTCGAGCAAAAATTTCTAATACATTTTAACGTGATAAATGAGTGATGTCTTATGATACAAGTAGTTTATTTCCGGAACGAATTATGCTCTCAAACCAAGGTATTGCTGTAACTATATATGATGCCCAGTGGGTACTAGACTTTTGGGGGGATCACTTAGTAAATTATCTAAATGTCTAACCACTATGCTATACAGCTGGAACTAATATAAAATAATATTGAATGTCAACTCTTATTTAAAAATAAAAATAATTTTAAAACACTTTTTTTAAGTTAAAAAAAAATCATTTAAAATAACATAGGTAAGGAACCAAGCATGCAGCCTAGCATCTAGGACTTACTGTAAAAAAGGTTTCTTCCATTCTCCTCCCTTTTACATCTAATTTAACGTCCTTACAAGACCACTGGGTAGTTAAGATTCTGAGATCAGCCAAGCTTCTGGGCCAGATTAGAAACTTTAACCATCCAAAAGGCCTAAAGGACTATGGTGCTTCACCCCTTACAATCTCACCAATTGTAATTAAAAGTAAGAAAAAAAAATACTAACCCATAAAATAAAGATAAGGAAATCTAACAAAATAATGCACTTTCCACTGAATACTTCAGTGATGGCCTAGCCCATACCATGCACATGGAAGTTCTAAGAACAAATGTTTGTGGTACACACATCCCTCTTTTTCTTTTTGTTCTATGTATTTGCTAAGTTTTTCAAATTGGTAACTCAGCACCAGAAATAGTACTAGTGCTCAGGTGCCCTCACTCCCAGTCAGGGCTGGAACCCATCCCCCAAATATCCACAGTCCACCAATAGTTCCAAGTCTCCTTTGAGTCATCCTACCTTCCTCTCCAAACCTCTACAAATACTCATTTTTCTAAACAAACAAAACCCTATAATTAAGTGTCATTTGCTTCTTTTTCTACTTCATTAGTCATCTGGTTAAAGTGCTAAAGAGCAGGCAAATTCCCACAAAGCAGAACAGTAAGACAGGAATGAG